AAAGGACAGGGGCACCCTGTGAATGTGCAGAGAGCCGCCACCCCTCTGTAAGCTGAAGTGCTAGGAGGAACCGTGGAGGGATTATGTACATAATGGGGTCTTCACCTGTATGGGACAACAAGTTATAGGAACTCTCTTTTTGAGTCAGCTTTAACTATACTAATTTGCTGAAAATCCAAAGCAATCAACTTCCAGTCTCTCCATGCACTCCACATTCCTAAAAACCCATAGGTTCAGGATGAGAAAGATCAGGCTTGATAGGAGTATTAGATCACCAGTCTGACTAGGTGTACAGCCCCCTTTCAATCTAGTAGTTGCTCTGAAAGGCAGAGCAGATGCCACTGTAGGATGGGTGTTTTGGGGTAGGGGAGAGGGGAGGGACAGCTGAAATCATTATGTGGCTTCCTGGGCAGGCTGTCTCACATGTACCCACTTTCCCTGCTTACCAAACTGTTTCAGTCTAACCATTGATGTGTCTGCTCTCACCTCTATGCTTCTGGAGGAGAAAACACTATCTACTCAAGGTACTGCTTACCATCAGCTCAGCAATGATACTCTCTGGTGGCCCTGTGCTGTCTTATCTGTCCCATATTTTTAATAATCTCTCTGGATGATCCTCTTTCTGACTTCATTGAGAAATACAATGATTGGGCTAGAGCTACATAAACTTCTTACTCAACAACACTTATTATGCGCATGTAGCTTTCTTCCTTTGCATCATATATCCTAATCCCCCACTTGCTGTCCATCCATCAACGCACCGATCATGGTACCTTTAATCTCTCTTCTTCAGTTTTACTCAGTATGTAAATCTGTTCAAATCTCTTACATTTAAAAATTTAAGAAAATCCCTCTCCAAGGTCATGTCATCCTCTCTCTCCTCTCTTATCTCTGTCCAGCCTTGCTTGTAAGGGTCTAATCTACAGGAATGTGTATGTTTCTTCGGCTCCCACTCAGACCTTGAGCTTTATCAGATGCAGAGAATCAATAATTGTATAAAGTGCCTTACCAAGAAGTGCTCTAGGCCCACACTCATAATCCAGAGGCAGGACAGCTAGAGTAAGATGGCTGGGAAAGTAGATAAAAAAAAAAAACAAACAAAAAAAACTACCAGGTTCAAGAGTTAAGACAGAGCCAGGAAATAGCAAGAAACTGAATTAATTATTTAACAATGCATACTCCTGCATTCTTTACATCATCCTCCCTCCCTTCTCTTTTAGATACTAAAGAGATTCACTGGAGCCAGGTGCCAGTGGCTCATGCCTGTAATCCTAGCTACTCAGGAGGCTGAGATCTGAGGATCACGGTTCAAAGCCAGCACAGGCAGGAAAGACCATGAGACTCCTATCTCCAATAAACCACTAGAAAACCGGAAGTGGTGCTGTAGCTCAAGTGGTAGAGTGCTCGCCTTGAGCTGAAGAGCTGAGGGCCAATGCCCAGGCCCAGAGTTCAAGCCCCATGACCAACAAAAAAAAAAAAAAAAAAGATTCACTGCTCTAGAAGAATGATTGGCCCAGGAATAGAAAACACCTGGGCTTTATAAACTGGTGAGCAAGAAGACCACAAAAAAGGACCATCAAGAACTGACATATATGTTACCCTTTGTAACCCAGACCTTTTTCCGTGTTTTAATGGTAATATCAAAACAAGGTAATTGGAAAGTTGCTAGGCAACCAAGTTGCTAAGCAACTGGTCATCCAAGTGACCAGTCCTGTACTAGAAAGCCCAGCCCAGTTAGGGGACATAGGTCTGAGTCAGCCAGGTGCTGACGGCTCACTTCTGTTAATCCTACCTACTCAGGAGGCTGAGCTCTGAGGACTGAGGGTCAAAGCCAGCCCTGGCAGGACCAGAAGTGGTACCATGGCTCAAAATGGCAGTGTGCTAGCCTTGAGCAAAAGAGCTCAGGTATAGTGCCTGTGAGTTGAAAGCCCACGACCAGCCACCCCTCTACCCCCCGACACACAAAATAAGGACATAAAGGGGGGGTCTCTGTAGCTGCCTTCTTGGAGATGTTAGTAAGGAGCTAAGAAACTAGCTGAATGGGAAGACATAAAAAATTAGATGGCATGCCTCATAAACTTACCTGTTGTCCTTGAGTTCTGGGTAGGCCTAGATCAGATCTAGTTCTAGAATAATAATACTCATCTTAGTCACCTGGCACCATTGTCTAATAATGCTAAACAGATGACCAGACATATTTCTCCAACTCAGAAAGTATAAAGACCCTAGATATGAAACTCCATTTTGAAGACATCGATCAAGACACATTGTGCTCATATGCTGATTGGTTGAATGACAACCCTTTGTGCAATTAAAGATAACAACAATACAATTACAAAAATCAAACACTAGCTGGGAAGGTGGCTCAGTGGTAGAGTGCCTGCCTAGCATGCATGAAGCCCTGGGTTAGATTCCTCAGCACCACATAAACAGAAAAAGCCAGAGGTGGCACTGTGGCTCAAGTGGTAGAGTGCTAGCTTTGAGCTAAAGATCTCAGGGATAGCACCTAGGCCCAGAGTTCAAGCCCCATGACCAAAAATAAAATAAAAAAAAGCCCACCATTTTGAATTGTCCACTTCTTTTTCTTGTATGAGAAGTAGGAAGTATTTCTCCCTACTTTGTTATGTTAAAATACATGCTTGATAGAATTCCCACCTTATAACACTCTCCATTTTGAGACACTGAAACTTGTCATTTTAGAGAGAAACTGTGAAGGTAAGAGATGCCTCATCCCTCAGCAGTTACCTTCTGTGTCTCCTTCATGAATGACTTCGAAATTCATTTTGTTACTAGTCCAAGACTGTGTGGGGAAGAGGTCCACAATGGACTTAGAAAGTTGAATAACAAGTGCTCCCCTCTTCTATTAGGGAAATCTCTGTTCCAAATTTCTTCCCAGGGACAACCCCAGCTACTCCTACCTGAAGACAAAAGGATCTCAGCATGAGGCCAGCCCAGGCACAGTTAGTGAAAAGACCCTATCTGAAAAACCAAACTAAGAGCAGAAGGTCTGAGGTGTGGCTACGTGGTAGAGAGCTTGCCTGGCTTAAGGCCCTGAGAAAGAGGAGAAAGGGAGGGGAGGGAAGGGAGAGTTGAATAAAAGTGAGAGAGAATATAAATTCAGGGCCTGTACTTGCTATGAAGGCATTCTGCCACTTGAGCCACCCCCTAAAAATGCCCGTTTCAGACTTGAAATTTAACATCATAATCACTGGTTTTGAAGCCAGGTACTTTCCAGTTGGCTGTGGCCCACTATTGTCTAACTTAGCATATAAACTCCTTCCCCCTGCCATGAGGTGCAGCCTTCACCTGTCTCCCTGCTTCTGAAAGTCTCCAGTAAGTCAATCTCTGGGCAAGTCAGTCTGCCTGCTTGTTCTTCTCTAGGCACCATCTGCCTCAGTGGCTGAGCCTCACACCAGAATCAGGTTTATCTGAAAGCTATTACTCTCAAAATTCCCACTTGCCAAGTGTTCTAGGCTTAGCACTAACTCCAGGCTGAATACTGCCAGGTATCTAAGTCTCCCGTGGCGATATGATCAGAAACATCATTCTACAAAGTTCATCTTTGAACAGTCTGCACCTGGAGCCTTGGGCCCTCCTCTGATGAAGTGCTCCTCTCCAATGGGGTACCTTGGCATCTAGTCCCTCCCCAACTGGATATTGCCTCTTAAGGCAATGTCCAGTCTTGGCTTACCCTCTCACTTGAGTGTATTACATTCTCTAGGAACTCCTATTCTCCTGATTTCTCATGACCTTCTCCTTCTCCCCCACTGCTTTCCCTACCATCCCAACATTCTGAAAATCAGCTTTGTTTTCATTTACACCTACATCTCCTACTTCCTTTCTCAATGAAGGTTGTCCTCATCTACCTGGAGAACTAGCCAGAACAGAGCCCATCATTGCATTGTGACACTGATCTAATTACTAGGATCTACTGGATTTCATCAAGAGTGGAAGGTCTCAGCACACAGGTGAAATACAGTCACTTCCAGGGCTTATCAATGACTGGGACTCAACACCAGAGCATCTGACCATGCAGATCTGAAGTAGGGCTTGTGAGACAACTTCTAGCAAGTTCCTAGGTGAAGTCAATACTGCTCATTTGAACTATGCTTTCAGAACCACTGACAAATGTGTTCATTCCCAAAACACCAGACCCACTGCAACGACCTGGGTCCAGCCCACCAGATATCACTATCTTGCCAACACTAGCATCCTGTAAACTAAGTAGAGCCATCTCTTTAAAAGATCTGATATTATCTGGGTGCTGATGGCACATACCTGTAATCCTAGCTACTCAGGAGGCTTATATCTGAGGATTGAGGTTTAAAGCCAGCCTGGGCAGGAAAGTCTGTGAGACTTGTATCTCCAATTAACAACCAGAAAAAAACAGGAAGTGATACTGTGCATCAAAGTGGTAAAGTGCTAGCCTTGAGCAAAAAAAGCTCATGGACAGCGCCCAGGCCCTGAGTTCAAGCCCCATGACCAACCAAAAAATAAAAAAGATCCAGTATTAGAAGATCTTTCTGGCTTAGCTAAAGACTAAAGTGTGTGTATTATTTGGGTGGTACCATTAGCATCCCTAATCCTGATGAATGGCAAACATACCAGCTACTGTTCCATGTACACTGATGTGATAGGTTTTATGTAAACATTATAACTTCATTACAATAGCTACCCAGCATCTTCAAGCACAATGAACTCCTTCCCATCTCTCCTCTACCAACACCCCATCCACCACACAGGGTCTGCCCGCCCCTTCCGATCTTCCAGCTGGATGTCCTAGAACCATGAGAAATGTGGCTACTCTTACTTTATACTTGTCTTTTGTGTGTGATGTGACATCCTTGCTATAATAGCAGACACACACTACACCTTTATATATGTGACTTTCATGTCAAAACAATGGTACGCTTAGGTCATGTGACCAGCCACATGCTGCTGAAAGCAAAAAGAGGAGAGAGTTGGAGAGAGTTTAGAAATGACCGTGCTGAAGCTAGGTGTCACAGTGGCATGTCAGTGCAATGCCTATTTAATTGAAACCTTGTAATAAAAGTTTAAATACATAAAATGTTGTTTGTTTGTTTGTTTTATCAAAAGAACTTCCCCCACTTCCCTGACCTGATACATATGGAGGCTAGGCAAGTGGAAAATTGGCTATTGTAGGGAACAGAGAAATGGCAGGTCCGACTTGGGTTGGTGTCTTCTTCCTCAGAAAGCAGTCCGTGATGGAACTCCCAGTCTCAGGTGAGCAGGAAGCCTGCCCGCACTGGCTGTCTGCAGCAGGTGGAGCCCACCGCAGGCCACTCTGCGTCACGGAGAGCACATCCTCAGAAGACAAGGAAGAGCAGGGCTTCGTGCCTGGGCAGAACTATGTTCTCCACAGTGCGCTCCATGGCCCGTACCTGCTCCGGAGAGGCAGTTAAGAACGCCAAAGGCCCAATCCGCTGCTCTGCACATGAGTGACACAGGTACCCACCCTGGTTTTCCTTCCTGTTGCTCTGTGGTGAAGGATAAGCAAAAGAGGTAAGGGACCAACCCAGCAACAAGAACTTCTCACCAACAAATGCTGTGTTACCATCGTAGCTGCCAACTGACAGGCATTATGATTTTGATGTTCTCCAACTGACACAAACCCTCAAAGGTAACACCTCCCACAAGTCTATCATCTAGCACAGATGCCACTCTACCAAGTTTCCTTAGAGCAGTAACGTGCTTCATCTGGTCAAGAGATGAAGAATTAGGAAGTGGAGGTGTGGCTCAAATGGTAGAGCTCCACCCTTGAGATGAAAAAGCTTGTAAGCAAGAGCGTGAGGCCGATTTCAAGTCCCAGTATTGGCAAAAAAAAAAAAAAAGTAGGGGAGGGAAGAACTAGGCTCTAGCAGGAGGGGGGGGGGGGGGTCAGTGATAGAGCACATGCTTCTTATGTACAAGGCCCCGGGTTTGATCCCAAATACCAAATAATGAAAATAAGAGCAGAAGAAGAGCCAGAGAGACAACAAAACCCAAGAAAAACTAAACAAAGCTCTGGGAAAAAACCTCTAGTCACACCCTCATCTCCCAAAGCAGAAAGCTTCAGCACATCCAGACAGCAATACCTGTTGTGACTCCTGACTATTCCATCCCTGCCATGCGGGCAGGGAAGCCCTCACATCTGCTGGGCTTTGACACATGAAGAGCTCTTTAAAAGGGATCACACAGCTTTCTCTTGTTTTCCTCACCCCACAGCCCAGGTAAGCACAAAGCTTACAGTGATGTAATGTGCACGGCTGCATTAAACCCCAGAGAGCAAACATACGTAGGTGATGGGCAGTTTCTTCATGGTGAGGACCGTGTCCACGGGGATGGCGTTATTGCACTGGCCCACACAGCAGCGAACCACTCCTGTTTTTAAGACATTACTTGTCAGCTCTGCTTGCAGGAAGTACTCCTGGGAAGGAAAGAGCCAGACGGAGATGGAATGGCAATACACACCACTGCTACATTCTTTAGACACAACCTGCGTCACTCATGTGAGAAATACACTGACTGTCCTGTTTTCCCTTTGTGGCTCAAACTGGTAGAGCGCCAGCCTTGAGCAAAAGAGCTCAGGGAGAGCACCCAGGCCCCATGTTCAAGCCTCACAACCAACAAAAACAAACAAACAAACAAAAACTAAATCAGGATTGGAATTACCAGTACAAATTCTTGACATTTTTCTTTCCTTTCAAAAACACAGATTTCCTAGCTCTGCTAAAAAGACAAAAACAAAATATTATCATTTCTGAAAGGCTAAGAATTTGCTCTGGTGCATGATGGGATGAAACATGAAGCAAACATGGCCACCTCCCCATCAGGGAGAAATCCTGACAAAGCCATGAAGGCTGAGTCTAAGTAAGCCTCTATCTATAGCTACTTCCAGTTACAGGAAGCCTAGGGCAGGCAACGGCACAACCAGTTTCACAATCACACAGGAAACATATCTAGAATGCTGAATATTCCATTGGGCAGACAACTGACCCAGTTTCTACAGTAAGACATGTGCACAGAAAGGGGAAAGGATATTGATTGCTCTAAATTAAGTAACTTAACGGACTAACAAATAAATGCTTATTTGGTTCCTGGTTTTAGCAAACCATTGTTTTTTTTTTTTTTTTAAAAAAAGCATTTTTGACACAATCACAAAAGTTCAAGTTCCCTGTCTGCCAGAAGATCTGCATCTTCCAGAAGTGGGGCTTTACTTAGTTTAGTGTAGATGAGTTTGAAGACCTGGTAGCTGAGAAGTGTCTCTTTCCTGATGGCTGTGGAGTCATATATGTCCCAAATCGTGGTCTTCTGGGTAAGTGACAAACCCTGCGCTGTGAGGGCCTGCAGTGTGCAATGAGCCACACCCACAAATAAATTTCCAATAGATCTTGCATTATGACAAAAAAAAAATCTTACAGGTGCTAGTGGCTCATGCCTGTAATCCTAGCTACTCAGGAGACTGAGGACTATGGTTTGAAGGCAGTCCAGCAGGAAAGTTCATGAGGCTCTTATCTACAATTAACCATCAAAAAGCCAGAAATGGAACTGTGACTCAAAGTGGTAGAATGATAGACTTGAGCAAAAAACTTAGGGACAGTGCTCGGGTTGAGTTGAAGCCCCCAGGACTGGTGCATGCATGCATGTGCCCACGTAAACACACACACACACACACACACACACACACACACACACACACACACATCCAATTTATCTCACATTGTGAATGATATTGTTCTTCTATTATACTTACTAATAAGTTAAGGGTATGACAATATGATTTTGTTACAAGTCAAACCACTAGGGTAAAAGTAATTCCATGAAAAGCCACACTACAAGTTCTTTAAAAAAAAAAAAAAAGAAGTACTTATAACCAAAATGTATACAAAAGTTCATGTAATATGTACAGACTATTTGTATATAAAAATTCTGCTTAACTCCTTAAAGTATCGGATAAGAGATTATAAAAAGTCGCATAATTTTAGACCTAAAATAATGATGGAATTTTCATGAGACCCTCTTGTATTAATTAATGTTTTAATATCAATTCAGGTTTTTTGTTTATTTGTTTTTGTCGATTGTGGGGTTTGAACTCTGGGCCTGGGTGCTGTTCCTCAGCTCTTTAGTTCAAGGCTAGTGCTCTACCACTTGAACCATAGCACCACTTCCAGTTTTCTGGCCGTTTATTGGAGTCTCACAGACTTTCCTGCCCAGGCTGGCTTTGAACTGCGATCCTCATATCTCAGCCTCCTGAGTAGCTAACATTACAGGCATGAGCCACTGGCACCTGGCTAATTCATGTTACTTTTTTTAAAGACTGTGAAGAAGCATACTTTTCTTCACCTCATTCAGACTAGATATCTGGAGATATTTTCTCTCTAGGAAAGGCTGATTTGGGGAAAAATCTGGCAGCAGAAGCAGGTGCATTTCAACTGAATCAAGGAGGGGAAGAGCGGAAGTTAAGATGCAGAAAAACTGACTGCCAAGCCCACCCCTCCCCCACTCCGAGTGCTGAGAACCAACTGACGGGGGAAAAAAAAAAAAAAAACAAAGTTAAGAAATACAAGAAGTCAGTTGACAATTTAGATGGGTCTTTAAAAATTTCATCAGGAAGGAATTTGGAAAGAAGACACACTCTATTTTACTGCTGGGAACCCTTTTTGCACAAGTGGCTGGCTTCTGCACATCCAAGAAACCTTTTCCCACCCAGCATCCAGATGTGAGGACTCCAATTTGAGTCCTCCAACGGAACAGTATTCAAATGCTCATAAATTAACTTGGGCTTTCCTGTTCCTCTTACCCCAGCAAGAGTCAAAATGTTTTCCAGTGATTTGGTCATTATGAGACGCTTCTTGGCACGCGTTACTGCAACATACAGTAAATTCCACTCATCCTCAGAAAATGACTCTAAAGAAAAAGGAAAAACAGTCAACTCAAAAGCCTGTTTCCACATCTTATGTTCTCATTCAAATATACTCAATTCCAAAATACCTCTCAACATTTGCTGGCTGTCTATACACAATTTTCTTACAAATAGCAACCACAAAAGCAAACAAGAACCTCACAGACTACAGTGGCATGAAATGCTAGATTTTTTTTTTCTTTTCTTTTAGCACTACCATAAATCCTAGACCATGCTAACTATTACCAGCACCTGATGATGTGGATATCCATCATCCAGTTCTCACAACACCTATGAGGTAGATGGAGAAACTGAGGCTCACAGAGGAAAAGTCGCTCCTACATGTAGGCCTACCATGAATCAGGGCCAGAGCTGGACCCAAGTCTACTGGTACCTAGTACCTACGTTCTCTCCCTTCCCACATTTATCTAGACTGACTCAGATAAAGCTGGAGATGTCTAACATTGTCACAGAGAAGGAAAACACCCCTGAGAGGGGCACTCTGTTGAAGTTAAGATTTTTCTACGAATCACAACATTAACAATCAAGAGTTTAAGTTTAATGATGTTGTTTATTTTATTTTTGGTTCCTTCTAGAAGGACCATATCAAGAGGCCACACGAACAAAAGTTAAGGCACTCAAAATGAAGCATTCAAGCAATGGTACCTACTAAAATACCAACATACCAAAGTAACCAGTTCATGTCCTTACCAACTCTAAAGTGAGGAAGCTGGGCAAGATTATGCCTGGCACAAGGCACTTTCACGAAATCATCCAGAACGTGCACAGTGTCAAACTCCAGGCCTTTGGCTTTGTGTACAGTACCCAAGATGTACTCTAGGACAGAAAAACAACTTTGTTAGGGAGGGTCTCAAGGGGGGGAGGGGGGAGCTTTGTGGGGAAAAGCAAATTATCATCAGGAAAAAAACCTGAAAGGAAAAGTAAAAAATAAAAAAAAATTTATCTTAATTATTATCAACCCTGGGAATACCAGGAATACCGCTAAGAATTGCCATCCACAGCCAAATGACTTGACCTACCTTCTCTCTACTCTTTATATATGGAGGGACAGAAACACAGGAGAGGGCTGTGTGGCTTGTCCAGCATTATCCCTGGCAGTGCTAGGGCTAGAAAATCTTGTTCTACTGGCTTGAAAATAGCACACCAATAAAAGAGGGCCTGAGGGAAAACAATTGCTTTGCTCCCTTTTTCTCATTATTTATTTGTTTTCACTTAATACTGCTACTGCACATCAATCCCAGGGCCTTATCTAACCCTTTCTCCTAAAAATAAATACCCTCCTTCAATGCCAAAGCAGCTGATAGCTTTTTTTTGTGGGTTGTGGGGCTTGAACTCTGGGCCTGGGTGCTGTCCCAGAACTCTTCAGCTCAAGGCTAGCACTCCACCACTTGAGCCACAGTGCCACTTCCAGTTTTCTGTTTGTTTACTGGAGACAAGAGTCTCACGGACTTTCTTGCCCGGGCTGGCTTTGAACTGCGATCCTCAGATCTCAGCCTTCTGAGTAGCTAGGCTTACAGGTGTGAATCACCAGCACCTAGCAGCTGATAGCTTTTGAAGGCCATCCACAGTTACTGACACTTCATGTAGGTAAAGAAACAGTAGAGGGAAGCCTGGTGCCGGTGGCTCATACCTGTAATCCTAGCTACTCAGGAGGCTGAGATCTGAGGATCGTGGTTCAAAGCCAGCCAGGGCAGAAGAGTCCCTATAGGACTCGTATCTCCAAGAAAGCACTCAAAACCCAAAAGTGGAGCTGTGGCTCAAAGTGCTAGAGTGTTTACCTTGAGCAAAAGAGCTCAGGGACAGTACCCAGGCTCCGAGTTCAAGCCCCACGACTGACAAAAAAAAAGAGAAAGAAACATTAGAAAGCAAGGAAGAATCAACTACTTTCCTTACCTGCAAAGTCCAAGTCTTCTATGTGGCATCTTTCTATCCTTTCCACCAGTTCTGGAATCCTGATATTGTACTTTTCAACCACAGCGATCTTTGCTTCAAGCTCCTTGTCCTCTGCAGCAGTCACATATCTCTTAAAGCCACTGAAGCCTTCTTTATGCACCCATCTTCTGATGAATCTGTCCCTGATGACGAGGTTTCCTAAGGAGGGGATGCACACAGCTTGACAGGAGGTAGATAACACAAATGCACATTTTCAACCACAAGCACAAAGGCAGATGGTAGAGTTGAGGGACCCAGGGGCGAGTCCTGACAGCATCACTAACTTGCTGAGTATCCCTGGACAAATCAACATGGTGGTCTCTCTACCTCCTCAGAGGATCAACAGACTATACTCAAGAGCTCTACCTCTTTCAGAGGATTTGAAATAGCACAATCCAAAATAAAAAGAAAAACTAGAAGCCAGCATTTGGGGCCCATATGGAAGTGTTGATGGGCAAAGCTGCCCAGCTTGACAGATACAGGGGAAGACAGCCTAAGGGACCAGCAGCAGAGAGCAGAAGACTTGTGAGACAAGGATTCTGGAACTCTGTTGGTACCTCTGAAAACAGGAGGTTTAGGGCATTCTACTCTTTGAGAGAGAAGATCAAAACAATCTCCCCTTCCAGAAGAACAACAAGAACACTGACTCTGGGACTCCCAGCTCCTAGCCCTAAGGCCAGCCAACTACTCACGTTTCTTCCGTTCTTCCTCTGGCTGAAGAAGAGTCCAAATATCAATGATTCTGTCCAGTCCAAATGATTTAATCCCCTGAAAAAGTTTGTTGGTAAGGCTTTTTGTTTTGTTTTGCTTTTGAATGTAACAAAATAAAACAAATGCAGGGATGGGATTTTACAATAAAGTAGTTTCTTGGAACTAGATCTCAAACTGCATCTACAGGAAGTGGGGAACTTCATCAAGCACAAAGCACTAAACTATAATATGGCTAGAAACTCAGAATTTGCAGATTCTCTTGCTCTAAATCTTCCTGTTCTAAAAAGGACAAGATCTAGCTAGCTACATATGGCTTTCTCATCAACAAAAGGGCAATTTGAGCAGACCTTCCAGGAATAGAAATTGTGTTACCAAATGATAAATACACTTGAGTAGAATACTTACCATTGTTTCTTAAGAGAGAACCCCTGAGTGTCTAAAGTCCATATCATTCTGTGATTTTGAAGGTCAGCCCTTGGAAGAGAGGGCCTGAGTACACTACAGGTTAACCTTGTTCTATCTAAGCAGTGCCTGCCCAGTCCTGGCTGTGACCCAGTGCTCCTGTGGTTCCAGCCCAGATCAGAGGACACATGTGATAAAGGCTCCACCCTCCCCCAGAACTGGTCATCTCTTAGGGAAGGACAGGTGAAACAATGACATAACACACAGATCAAAACATGACAGTATCCATTATGACCCACAATCAGATATGCAATGGAGTGTCATGGCATGTACTACAGGCAGAGCAGATGTAGGAGGGGGAAGAAAACAACGTGCTTCCTATCATACCTACGGGGATGGTATTCCATAATCACTTACCATAGTGAAAATGGCTAACTTCTAACAGAGGAAATAAGATAAAGTCATCACACCAGCAATGAAAGAAAATATGCTCATGTGCTGAGTGGAAAAAAAAAAAACAGCACCCAGTTCTTATGTATACAATAAATGAAATACTACGCAGAAATATTAATCTGTAAGGACAAAGACAACAGAACTATCCCAAAATAGATTATATGAAATACTGGGATTATGTGGTGGTTAACTGGAGATTATAGCATCATGGACTTTCCTGTCTAGGAAAGATCTTAGCCTCCTGAGTAGCTAGGATTACAGGCATGAGCTATTGGTGCCCAGCTTAAAATATACCAACCATATTTACTAAGTGCCTGCCACACAGTAGGGCCTTTTTACCATAAGTAAAAAAACATATATAGTAGTTATCTAACCTAAAGTTAAAAATATCACAAGCTTGTCACTGAATCCTACTTTCCCCATGGAACAGGCACAGGAAAGACATTGTTTCATCTTCAGTATGGAGAAGAGAATGGGGCATATAGATGCCACATGTGTTAGTGACAGAGGCAGAGCTAGAACTCAAGGTTTTAATTCCATGTGAATTAGGGTAACTGGTGTGGCCCAGGATGTCATCAGCTCCACTGTTCTCTCACATGGACAACATACAAGAAAAATTCCAGGGAGCGAGCAGTCTCCCATTCAGAGTCAAGACTCATTTTTTTTAGAGTGGAAGAAAAGGTCCTCGGTCCTTAGTGGGTCTGACATCATAGGAATATTCTGATACCATAATTAAAGTAGCCAGGAATAAGGACTTCAGGCCTGGTACAGTTGGCTAAGAATTCAAAAACCTAAAGGCTTCCTTGTAAGCTGATCCTAATGAAGCTGAACATTTTCAGTGGCTACCTGCTATGTTTCTGTGCATGAAGTGGTCTCCAGAAATTTACTCTTACCCCAATCAAATGTATCTTGGAAGGTACTTCTCCTTCTGTCACCCTGACAGCCTCATCAAACACGTTGGCATTGGTCCGTGACAAAAGAGCCACTTGTCCCTTTACATCACCTCGAATGCCACCTTTGGGAAGAAAGCATACATTCCATGGCAAATCAAATGAAAGACGGCAATTAATTTTATAACTTGCAACTTTCTAAAAGAAGAGCAACGGCAAGCCTTACTTTGATGGTTTCCTCCAACCAACGTCTTCTTCCTTACTCTCTTGCAGACATCCAAGATAGTAGCTCCCACATAAGCTATTTCCACACCAAATCTAAAACTCTGTTGGAAGACAACAAATGAAAGGAACTGAAACCAGCACAATATAAATGAACACACTTCTATCACTGCCAAGACCTGACTTGTGCTCCACAGGCTGGGGATGTGGACATTTTCTAGAGTAAAACTGAGCCTGGCTGGTGATTTGTCTAAGGGTTTTGTTATTTTGTGCTGGCAAGTTTCCATTCATGGGCATACTAAAAATGCCTGACCAGCACTTTTTTCATGCGTCATGGGGCTTGAGTAGGCTAGCACTCTACGACTTTAAGCCACAGGGCTACTTCCAGTTTTGGGGTGGTGAATCGGAGATAAAAATCTCATGGACTTTCCTGCCCGGGCTGGCTTTGAACCATGATCCTCAGATCTCAGCCTCCTGAGTAGCTAGGATTATAGGCGTGAGCCACCGGCACCTGGCCTGACCAGCACCTTTGAGAAACATTTACTTGAATAGTACTTCTCAAAACTGTCAATGTCATTAAAAACAAGTAGAGTCTAAGAACTTCTCACAGCCAAGAAAAGCCTAAGGACACATAACTATAACTAATGTGTTCTCCTAGATGGGATCCTGGAGCAGCAGAAAACATCATTCAAAAACTATCAAGGAATTTTAGCAAACTCTACACTTTCATTTATAATAAACTATCAGCTGTGGTTCATTAATGTGGCAAGTGTTCTCCATTAATATAAAATGCTAATCCTTAGGGCTTATTAGAGTTGAGCTTATATGAGAACTATCCTGGTCTGTACCATTATTTCAGTGTTTCTGTAAATTTGAAAGTACTCTAAGACACACATCAGGTCAATTAAAAAAAACAGCTTTCCTGCTGCCACCTTTAAATTAGTGCTGCAGATGGGAACACAAGGAAATATAATCAGTTCACAGACCTCTCACTAACTTTACACAACTCAGTAGTTTATACTTTAATACAAGTAACAACTCAAGTCCTCTAGGGTGAGAGAGCTGATCGTTTTTTACAAATGACAGAGGTCCTACAAAGAGTACTTTTTGAACGTAACTATAAGCCACCTTCCTCCCCCCTACCACCAAAAAAATAGCAAGCGTGACAGAGTTTGACATTTTTTGCAAATTTCTTTAATGTTTGACTTCTCTTCCTTATATCTGCATTCAGTCTAATGAAATATTGTCTTGGCTGAAGTATGTGAAGAAAATCTAGCCTTGGGGATGAGAACGTTGCTTAGTGGTAGAGTGCTTGCCTAGCATGCATAAAGCCTTGGGTTCAATTCCTCAGTACCACATAAACAGAAAAAGAAGTGGCGCTGTGGTTCAAGTGGTAGAGTGCTAGCCTTGAGCAAATGAAGCTCAGGGACAGCAACCAGGCTCTGAGTTCAAGCCCCAGGACTGGCCAAAAAAAAAAAAAAGAAGAAAATCTAGCCTCACACAGATGTGCAGCTGGAGAAGAAGGAATGCTTATATAATTAAAGGGCACTGTGATTTCTCACACTCACAAGCTTTCAAAGTTTCCACTTTGCTTGAAAGAACCCTTTTCTAAAAAAATTGTTATTATAGGGGCTGGGAAGGTGGCTCAGTGGTAGAGTGCTTGCCTGCATGCATGAGGCCCTGGGTTCGATTCCTCAGCACCACTTAACCAGAAAAAGCTGGAAGTGGTGCTGTGGCTCAAGTGGTAGAGCTGAGGAGCTCAGGGGCAGCACCCAGGCCCAGAGTTCAGGCTGCACGACCAACAACAAAAAAAATTGTTATTAAGCCGGGAGCTGGTAGCTCACACCTGTAATCCTAGCTACTCAGGAGGCTGAGATCTGAGAATCTCAGTTCAAAGCCAGCCTGGGCAGGAAAGACCGTGAGACTCCTATCTCCAATAAACCACCAGAAAACCGGAAGTGGCACTGTAGCTCAAGTGGTAGAGTGCTCGCCTTGAGCTGAAGAGTTGAGGGACAGCGCCCAGGCCCAGAGTTCAAGCCCCACGACCAACCAAAAAAAAAAAAATTGTTATTATAAAGGTGATGTACAGAAGGGTTACAGCTACGTAAGTCAGGTAATGCATACGTTTCTTTTTGAGCAGTGTCTCCCCTTCCCTCACTGTCTCCCAGCACCTAAAAGTAAGAATTTTGTCTTTGGCAACAAACACTGTTGTTTTTCCTTGAAGTCACTGTTATTTTCACTCATCTTTGAGAAACTGCAAATATCCACTCTGCCTAACCTGAGGTGGTCTGTCAGTTGTTCTTTCAAGTTGGAAAAAAAAAAAGGTACTATAAGAAAAAAGCATCCGGGGCTGGGAAGGTGCTCAGTGGTAGAGCGCTTGCCTTGCATGCATGAGGCCCTGAGTTCGATTCCTCAGCACCACATAAGCAAAAAGAAAAAAGCCGGAAGTGGCGCTGTGACTCAAGTGGTAGAGTTCTAGCCTTGAGCTGAAGAGCTGAGGGACAGCACCCAGGCCCAGAGTTCAGGCCCCACAACCGGATCCAAAAAAAAAAGAAAAGAAAAAAGCATCCACTTCAGCTCATAATTGCCTTGTGCTCCTTGTCAGTCTACAGCTTCAGTCTGCAGAGGAAGTGGTTTGTGTGTACTTCCCATTGCAACACAGGAATATTAGAGAGATGTACTGCAAAAGGTCAATGGGTAACAAGATAATCATTTTCACTTCAGAATCAAGGACATGCTCAAGTAAACCTTTTTCTTTTTAATCTGAATGTGCTGAAAGAATATAATTGTTAGCCCAGTTTGGTATCAAGGCGTTGATTCATAAGACACCAATAGTTTTACCCTACAACCATGCAAATGCCAACAGAGAAACATGACTATTATGAGAATAGTTTTGACTCTGTAGACCTGCTGAGAACCACTGCTTACAGCAAAGGGTTTGTTATATACTGTGAACCTAGCATAGAAACATACACAAAGCCCAGCATGTAAGAAACTAGGAGGGGACAGGAAATACATTGTTTGCTTACAATCGTGGGGAATGAGGGGCAGAGACTTACCTGTGTGAGATAGAAGACGTGTGTGTGGGGAACTGTGAACAGAGCATTGACTGCACCCCGGAAGGTATAGATCTGTTGGTGTGGGTCCCCTACAAAGATCTTCCCACATGGCTGAGACAGAACTATATTCATTATAGCTGCAACCAACAAGAGGGAAAGTGAGAAATCTGAAGGATTCCAACCCATACAGCTAAAAAGAAACCATATTTAAAAGAGAAAAGGATGTATATGCTTTCACAAAACTAAGCCAGAGCAGGATAGACAAGGGTTGTCTTTTCTTACAGGATAGGTGCTCAATCAAAAGGAACACTTGTATAACAGTCAAAGGAAACAGGTTCTGGTTCTACAAATGCAAATGATCTTTCGTTCTGGGTGAACTGAGTATAAGAAAATTTATAGGCAGATATAAAACGAGGCAAATTATTTTCTCTAATACTCTAAGACTCCAAAATTACCTAGAAAGTCATATTCATACCACTTGAGAAATAAAAAACAATTTTTTTTAGGTCTAAACTGAAAACTTTTTCCCCATTCAGCATGAGTCTAGATCTTTATCACTGGGTGAGCTCCTCAATCAATATTTTTATGTTTTATTTATTCTTTATAGTGCTGGGGATCAAACCTAGGGCCTTGCGTATGTAGGCAAATATTCTACCACTAGCTACATTGCTCAGCCCCCACATTCTAAGAATAACTTCGGTAAAACAGTTAGAGGAAGATAAATCTGCTTTGAGTGAGAACAATTGCTAACATCTTTAGCCAAATAAAAAGGATTTCTCAATGACTAAATATCATTTGTTCCTCTTCTTTATCACAAATAAGAATAATCAACTTATTCCACACATAGTCCTCTTACATAATCATGATGGTGTTTCTACGTATTTGAGACTACTGATGTCCTGAATAGTTTATCACCTGGGGTACAGTCCTGGGCCTCATCCACAAAGATGGCGTCAAAAGAGGCAAGCAAAGGCTTGCTCAGCTGCCAGAGTTTCAAATAGCCTGGAAGAGGGAAACAGCAAAAGTCATAATTCACTTTCCTTAAGTACTGACACCTAACAGTGAGTGAGGTATGGAAACTTGCCTACCATCATGAGTCATTTGGTAAGCCTCTTCTTTGCATTCTCCCAGCTTCCGCATGTTGTCCCAGAGTCGGCTTGCTTCAAGGACACCATTCTAGAAAGTAAATGACACAATAACTCAAAGTTTAAGACCTTGGAAAAGAGAGCAAGGTGAACTCATGCTGTCACTACCACATACAGCAGGACAAGCAAAGGCATCATTACTGAATAAAGGGACAGGCACCTCCCAAGGCTCCACTTTTAACAGTGTGGAGGTTTCACATGCTGAGAGGAGGGACAAGCTGGGCTCACACAAAACATGAGAGCAGAGATCAAAGTCACAATGGCTGAAGAACTAGAAAAGGCCCAACTGCTCTTCTAGGTTCATTACTGACAATTGTTTAAAAAAAAAAAAAAGAGAGAGAAATGAGCTGGGCCCTGGAAGCTCAAACTTATAAATCCTAGCTACTCAGGAGGCTGAGATCTGAGGATTGTGGTTCGAAGCCAGCCCAGGCATGAAAGTCTGTGAGATGCTTATTTCCAATATCATTATTGGAAAAATCTGGAAGTGGCACTGTGGCTCAAGTGGTAGAGTGTTAGCCTTTAGAAAAAAACATCTCAGGGATAGTGTCTAGGCCCTGAGTTCAAGCCCCTGGACTGGCACCAAAAAAAAGAGAAGTGATTGAATAGACTTGATTTTACTAGTAACTTTTCTGCTAGTGAAGTCAATATAGAACCAATAACCAAAACAATTAGAAAAGACTCCCAATCATTAGATTTGATTCAATTCTGGGGCCTGAGGATGCAATAAGAAGTTCTGGGGGAAAAAATCATCATTCAATGTCTATTCTTGTCTGTTTAACAAGAATTAATGTGATGACTGACATGTCTATGCATGGTCTTCCCTGGAGAAAATACTGTACAATTCCCAGTGCCATGTCAGGCCTGTACTTTAGAATTTTTTTTTAATATATCTTTTTTAATCTTCAAGTGGTTATACAAAGGGGTTACCTTTTTTTTTTTTTTTTTTGGTCATGGGGCTTGAACTCTGGGCCTGAGCTCTGTCCCTCAGCTCTTCAGCTCAAGGCTAGTGCTCTACCAGTTGAGCTACAGTGCCAATTCCGTTTTTTTTTCTAGTGTTTTATTGGAGAGAAGAGTTTCATGGACTTTCGTGCCCAGGTTGGCTTTGAACAGTGATCCTCAGATCTCAGCCTCCTGAGTAGCTAGGATTACAGGCATGAGCCACCAGTGCCCGACTGGGGGTTACCTTTTGACACATCAACTTGTGTTTATAGTGCATCTTGATCAGTCACCCTTTTCACTGTTCTCCTCCCTCACCTACTTCTCCCCTCAGTTCCATCAAGTTTTCCGCTTCCTTTTTCACATATGTACATTGAGTGTTAAGACTGTACTTGTCCTGACAGACCTTAATCTCATCTGCCTATTTTCAATTTCTTGTGAGAAGGAAATAAGAAGATAGAAATAAGCTGGTCACTAGCGGCTTGAATTTGTGATCATGGCTATTCAAGAGGCTAAGATCTGCTGGGTACTGGTGGCTCACGTCTGTAATCCCAGCTACTCAGGAGGCTGAGATCTGAGGATTGCAATTCAAAGCCAGCCGGGCAGGAAAGTCCGTGACACTCTGATCTCTAGTAAACCACCAGAAAACCAGAAGTGGCACTGGAGTGCTAGCCTTGAGCTTAAGAGCTCTGGGACAGCACCCAGGCCCAGAGTTCAAGCCCCACAACGAACAACAACAAAAAGAGGCTAAGATCTAAGGATCTCGGTTCAAAACCTTTCCAAACAGAAAAATCTGTGGGACTCTTAGTAATGATTAACCAGCAAAAAATTGGAAGTGGAGCTGTGGCTCCAATGGTAGGGTACCAGTCTTGAGTGAAAAAGCCAAGCAAGACAAAAATAACAACAGCTCCCTAAAACTAGGGACATCTGATACTTACCAACTTCTCACTCTGTTCAACCATGACTCTCTGTCCTTGGCTGTTCTTACACCAAATAGGTACATGATCAATAGTCAGCTCTTCATCAGCGGAGGCAAAGAAGTTTTCCAAAGTCTTACATACAAGCTTGGCCCTGATGAATCCACCTTTCCCTTCAGCAAGAACCGAATTGACCATGAAAGGCGTTAACTTGAAGAGATTCAACTTCTTCTTCAGCTGGTACCTGTAATGCACATGTCAAGTAAATACCATTTGGCTTTACTGGCACTGTGGTAATGAGTTCCCCCTCTCCATCCCCCTCTCTCCAGTGACACCACAGGTAACTGAGAGATATTATACAAGGTGAGACAGAATGCTTAAAAGGCCACAAAAATCCTGAAAAGTCTTCATCTAATTCAATCTGGTTTTTGCTAGGCTTTCATGAACGAACATCTCACAGATCCAGAAGATGAATCTACTCATGGCTGTTGCTACTATTCCCAGCTGGGATCAAGGCTCCCAGAAGCCCCACAATGGGACACTTGAAGCTCTTTGAAGCCTTTGTGCACAGGAAGCCAGGGGTACATGCAGGTTTCCCCACCCAACTTTCCAAGTATCAAGATGTGTGATATCTTGATCATTTTGACTTTCTGTGCTTCAATGTCAGAGAAATGAGAATGCTCCTCTCAGCAAAATATTATGTACGAACAATATATCTTCCAGGGTAAGAGAACCAACCACTAACGCTGCCTGTAAATGGATAATGGCATCACATATTCTTAATGTTGTGGGGTAAGTTCACATGCGATCACGAGGATCGCATATAAAACCCAGAAAGAGACGTGCAAATGGCGCTGGCCTGGCAATGCTCACTTCCGCCCGACGTGCCCGTAGGCCATGGAATGAAAGGTTTTGCAGATGACATTACTGGGGAAGACGAGCTCAGCCTGCTTTGCGATGCTCTTGTTGAATGTGACATACAGAAATCTGCTCTGAGACCACTTCTCGGCGTACTTGACTAGGGTAGAGGTCTTCCCGGTGCCTGCAGAAGCCAAGAGGAGAGGATGTAACCCAAGCAAAACACACTCCAAGGGGGGACCCTATTCAGGTCTTAATCAGGCTTCTCTCTCCTCTGGCTTGAACTCAACATGACTTTCATAAGGACAAAAAGGGTGCAGCAACTTTAAAGTCAGGTAAAGGTGGATGGGGACATTGTGTTCCTGGCTCTAGCCAAACAACAAAGGGGAAGCTATCTGACTCTCCTCACTGAGCTCCAGTCTGACCCAGGGGAATATGTGAGTAACCTGTACGCATAGGATTTGCAAGGGCAAAGATAAACATCAGGTCTCCCGCAGCAGGAATTTAATAATGGGTAACTGTTGCTGGCCTAACATTCAATGATACATGCCAAGCAAGAGCATGAAAGGGAGACTCGGGGATTCCTCGGATCCATTCTAGACTCTCGTCTGTTCTACCTCTCCACCACTCAAGTCAATTGTTCTGTCACTTACTTAACAAGGATTTCTGAGTACCTACTACACGTTCAGCTCTGTGCTAAGCATTGTGAGATGCTAAAAGAAGATATACTACAGTCTAGCTGGAAATAAAACACCAACACAAGTGAAACAGACAACATGAGAGCATAGTGTGACACAAGACAGTGAAAAAGAATATGGAAGCTGGCACTGGTGGCTCACACCTGTAAGCCTAGCTACTCAGGCGGCTGAGATCTGAGGATCACAGTTTAAAGCCAGCCTGGGGAAAGAAAATCCGTGAGACTCTTATTTCCAATTAACTACCAGAAAACCAGAAACGGTGCTGAGTGCTTGCCTTGAGTGGAAGAGCTCAGGGACAGCACCCAGGCCCAGAGTTCACACCCCATAACCAACAACAACAAAAAAGAATATGGATTATCAACAACAATAAAAGTCTCACCTATAGACAAAGAGGGTTGTTTTGAAGAACTGTGGTAAACTAAAGAAATATTTATAAAATCCATTTGTCACCTATCTCTACGATTGTGATGAGGTATCAAGTGATTAACAAATTATTAGTTATAAGAGAAAAAGCTGGGTGCTTGTGGCTCATGCCTGTAATCCTAGCTACTCAGGAGGCTGAAAACTGAGGATCATGGTTCGAACCCAGCCCAGTGAGAAAGTCCCTGGGAGACTTTTATCTCCAATAAACTACTAAGAAAAAGCCAAAAGCGATGCTGTGGCTTAAGTGGTAGAGCATTAGCTTTGAGCACAAAGAGATTCAGGGACAGTGCCCAGGCCCTGAGTTTAAGCCCAGGACTGGCAAAAAAAAAAAGGTTACTGCAACTGGATATTTAGGATTCAAGTGACTGAAGAAACCTTTATCAGGGAGTTACACAAATGATGAGTCAATATACATGGCAAAGAAAAAGAGAAGAAAGAAGAAGAAGATGGAGCAATAAAGAAGAGGCATTAAAAAAAGAAAGAGAAGGGCTGGGAAATTGGCTCAGTGGTAGAGAGCTTGCCTTGCATGCGTGAGGCCCTGGGTTCGATTCCTCAGCCCCACATAAGCAGAAAAAAAAAAAGCTGGAAGTGGCGCTGTGGCTTAAGTGGTAGAGCGCTAGCCTTGAGCTGAAGAGCTGAGGAACAGTGTCCAGGCCCAGAGTTCAGGCCCCACAACCAGACCAAAAAAAAAAGGGAAGGAAAGGAGAGGGGAGGAGGACACATGTCTTTGGAAAGACAAAAAACCAGCTTTGAATTCTGGTTCTACCTCTTATTTGTTTATATAATCTGAAATAAGTTTCTTGTAGCTTAAACTTCCTTATGTATAAGCTAACCAACTTTTACAGAATGATGTTAAAGAGAACACCAAGCCAGTATACTGCATGCATTTAATAAATTGTAGTTAGCAGGTAGAAAGGAAAAAGAAATGGGTTCTAAGTAGAGAAAAATAGCATGAGAAAAGATTTAGACAAAAGACTAGTCAAGTATTTCAGGAGACTATAGGATCAGCTCAGCGACAACATATTTAGGGAAATTGCTAAAAATAAATGGAGGGAGGGCCCTCAAGATATCACCCTACAAAATTAGAAAGCTACTGGAACTCTTTATGCTAATTAGCAATGGCCTAACTTTCCTGAAGCAATCAGTTACTGTACATATACAATGATAATTGATGGTTTCAACCAATCCCACTGTCAATTAATATCTACGAAATATTTGTTAAAACAGGAATTCTAGTGTCAAAAAATGTTCCCTAGAGTAGTGCAAGAAAGCAAGTACTTCTTGGCCTACTGCTTATGAGACTATCTGACTAGACAGTTTGATAAAAGATCAATGCACAGATGTTCTGGCAGGCAGATAATGGGTAGCAGAGGGAATGATGGTAAAAAGTAGCAAACATGAACTGGATGCTCTATTCCAGGAACGTGCTGTGTACTCCCTTACCTGCAAAGGCCATAATTTTTACCACCTGGAGAGGCTCCATTTTATGGTTCAGAATCAGCTGTTGCTCATGTGTAAGTTGAATGGATGCTTTCTTGCTATAATCATTCACAGAAGAGAAATTAAAAAAAGGTAATGAAAAAGTGCAAGGAATTGACTGTCCAAAAATCAAATGAGCAGCTGGGTGCCGGTGGCTCATGCCTGTCATCCTATCTGAGGATCACAGTTCAAAGCCAGCCCAAGCAGGAAAGTCTGTGAAACTCTTATCTCCAATAAACCACCAGAAAACCAGAAGTGGCGCTGTGGCTCAAGTGGCAGAGCTCTTGTCTTGAGCTGAAGAGCTGAGGGAGAGTGCCCAGGCCCAAAGTTCAAGCCCCACAACCAACGACAACAACAACAAAACAAAGTCAAAGGAGCAAACTGGCTCATCAGAAGTTGACCCAAAATAGACTTCCCCTTCAAAGGATAAAAATGATGTTCTACAATCAGATTATGATACTGGCTGCACAACATGGTAAAGCTACTCAAAAATTACTGAATTATACTCTTCAAATGGATGAAATTTATATAATGTAAATTATACCACAATAAAAATGGTAATGTAAAATGTCTCCACTCCTTACTTAGCAGAATTAATAATGGAAGAGAAAACACTTGCTTATATTTATATACATACATACCCTGGCCAGACAGATGGCTCCTCCTTAACTTTAGTGGCCTGAGTATTAGAATTCTCCTGAAGATATAGGCAGTAGAAAATGTTGTAGTGAATCCTAATAAGGGAGAAAAGTAAATTAAAAAGACTTTCAAATTTAGGTCACAATCTATTTCTTAATCAGATTCTCTCTGGAGGTGACAGAAGCACTGTCAGGAAACACAGTTCTGAGCAAGGTGCTTGTTTCTATGTGTGACGTCAAACGGAACAAGATGGGGACATGCCATCCCCCGAACAGGAGCTCTAGATGTGATCTGAAAAGATCATTGATCTGGCTATGGTAATCCCAGCAACTCAAGAGGTAGAGGAAGGAGGATTTCAGTTTAAGACCAGCTCAGAAAAAGTCAGCACATAACCCTATCTAAAAAAGAAAAAACAAACTAAAAGAAAAAGGACTGGGGATATGACTTAAATGGTAGAATGCTTGCCTAGAAAACATGAGGTCTTTAGTTCTATCCCTGGTACCAGAGAGGAAGGGAAGAGAGGTAGGGAGGGAATGGAAAAGCAGTAAAATCCATGTTAGGGTTGCACAACATGCTTACTGCCTGCCCATCTGGGTGTCTTTACTCCAGGCAGCCTGCCAGATGTTACTGCTGGCAAGTGGGAGGGAGAACTGGCCAAGTTGGGACCTTCTCACATTACCACAGAGATTGTCATCCCCCCTCCGGCCGCGTACCTATTGCTGATGTTGATTCCCTTCTCCCTCATGGCGTAGAGCAGCACAGCTATACAGTATAAGGTTTCGGTGACATCTGGCATGGTCACTGTGGAGCCGGGTCTCCTGAGGCAGAACAGCAGCTGCTGGATGTCCTGGACGCCGCTGGAGAGAAGCACCATGGCTGCCACCAAGGCCCAGACATTAACGCCCTGTGAAGTGAGGCACACGGGATAAGCGGAGCCGCCCAGGCACAGGACACAATCAGGAAGATTTGCACCAGAAAATCAGGGACTAGCTACAGCTTGACTGAACTGAGCCCAAGTGCTCCAATAATATTTGGGAAACTACAGGACCTTCCTTTTGCTCCAGATTCCTTCTCTTCTTTGATTTTCTTTAGTATTATTACATTAATAAAGTACTGAACATGAAGCCTTGCATGGGGGGCGGGCACTCCAAAATTATGAATTCTCTTCTCATTGTCCCATCTCTCCTTTCTAGGTCAGTAGGAGTTCACATGTCCTCAGTGCCTCACTGGGAGGCACAAAGATGAAGAGACATCAGGACATTATGGTCCATGTCTGTAATCCCAGCACTCGGGAGGCTGAGAAGAAGGATCAAGTGTTAAGAAGCTAGACTGGACTATATCATGAGTTCCAGGTCAGTATGGGCTATATCGTTGACTCCCAGTCTCAAAAGACAAAAGACAGAAAAACGCACTGCAGTTTTTGGAGACATTGTAGCTGACAATTCTCTCACACTACAACATTTATTTACGTTTTTATTAGTTAATAATGACTAAATGTTAAGTTAAATACATATTAAATATGATTTTAAGTATCCTCTATGACGATAGTAGTAATGCTCCATTTAGATAATTCTAAGTAAATGGTGACTAACACAGAAGGAATTAATTAACAATGGGCACCTTATTCTTTATTATTCTTTTTTTTGGTCGTGGGCTTGAACTCTGGGCCTGAGCGCTGTCCCTCAGCTCTTCAGCTCCAGGCTAACGCTCTACCACTAGAGTCACAGTGCCACTTCCGGTTTTCTGGTGGTTTATTGGAGATAAGAGTCTAATGGAGAGATAAAAGTCTCAAAGACTGGGCTGGGAAGGTGGCTCAGTGGTAGAGTGCTTGCCTTGCATGCATGAGGCCCTGGGTTCAATTCCTCAGCACCACATAAACAAAAAGAAAAAAGCCAGAAGTGGTGCTGTGGCTCAAGTGGTAGAGCACTAGCCTTGAGCTGAAAAGCTGAGGGACAGCGCCCAGGCCCAGAGTTCAGGCCCCACAACCAACAAAAAAAAAAAAAGTCTCACAGACTTTCCTGCCCAGGCTGGCTTTGGAGCACAATCTTCAGATCTCAGTCTCCTGAGTAGCTAGGATTACAGATGTGAGCCACCGGCGCCTGGCTTCTTTATTATTCTTATACCTATCCCTGTTAAAGAACGAATTCTGAGAAAGGAAGTTTCCCATGCCCCTCGACTATACCTATTCTGTGAGAGAAAGTATACCCTACCACCATTAGCCATCAAGACAGAAAGAAACACAATGCTGGGGTTTCTAAACCTCTGTGGCTAGAATACAGGTGAAGGTTGCATGTAGTTACCAAAAAGAAACATGAGAGCCTTGGATCTGTGTGAGGGCCAAATAGGGCTGAGAGCCAGGAAACTCAGGGCTATTTTCTATCTTCTCCTTACCTCACTGTGACTGTAACAAGACCCTTAACTTCTCCACACCTTTCATACAACCAAAACTGCCCCCAATCTTATAAAGATAGATGGCTATCTTTCAGGAATATTTCAGACAGGACTTTTCAACAGAATAGGAAATTGCTTCTTAAAATGACTTCTAAATCCAAGAATTTGGAATTATATGGCCCTTTATTTCCTCCAAGGGGATCCACAACAAGATTAATGCTTCAACACATTCACAGATGAAATGGAGACTGTGAAAATAAATTTTTATCATCAACATACTTTCCTCCCTTGAAAAGCATTGCCCCCATCCTCCCACGGGCTCCTTCTCTGCGTACCCCAGCAGCCATGTAGAGGTCGGGCAGGTACTGACGCACACATGCCTCTGCCTCAGGAAGGAGAGGATGATCCCTCAGACTCCACAGCACCCTCTCAGGATCCACACTTGGGGAGCACTTAGTGGTGGCTGTGTATCTGTAAGACAGTCAAAGATGAGTCCATAAGGCAGAGGATCCATAAGGCAGCAACATACAAGAAAGGACGTGGTGAACTCTCCCTTGCACCAAGGAAGAAACGCACCGTATGAGGTTCAGCACACACAAGTCTGACTCCTTTTCTATGCCACAGTTCAAGAGGATGCCGTCCACTTTGCTCACAGCTTGCTCTTCATTCATCAGGTATCGATGATACAGCTTTTTCCAAGGAATGAACTGTGTAGTCAGAAAACAAAAGGAAGTGACGTGTGGGCAACGGCTCTTAGAAAGAAAACTAGGCCACAAACACACAGACAACATTCTACCAACTTACAGGCACTTAGAGCTCACAATTCAGAGGCTGAGCAAATCAGGTAGAAATGTTGCATCAACTCTGGGTGGAAACTAGGAAAACTGGGGCCTTAGTTCTAACAGTAATTTACCACAGATTCTGGAAAAAGCTAATGCTTGAGCTTCCTTATCTGAAACATCAGGACACTATAATATTCAGAGTTTCTTAAATATATGAAGCAAACTGATAGAAAAAAGAAATAGATAGTAACAGCTACTTTCAGTGGATGAGCAACCATACAGAAGTTGAATAAGGGAACCCAAGACTTGATCAACTCTTTAGTATAGAGGATACACCACCCAACAACAGAATATGCATTCTTCTCAAGTATACATGGAACCTTCTCCAGGAGACTCACAGAAATCTTATTAATATGACTCAAGTTATACCCAGTAGTTTAAAAAAATACAATGAAACTAGAAATCAAAATAGCAGGAAAACTAGAGCATACACAAATACACAGATTTTAAACAGGAAACTTTGTTTCTTTTATTCTTTTTTTTTTTGGTCTCCCTAGTGAAGGTTAGGGGAGTTCTAACAAAGATTGAAGCAGAGCTGAGCTTGGCAGTACATTTGTAATCCCAGCAATTTGGAGCCTTGAGGCAGGAGGAACAAGTGTGTGTTCCAAGCTTGTTCCTGCAACAGAACTATTAAGAAAAATCGGAAAAAAAAAAAGGCTCACCAAAACATAAAGCTGAGTTTTGGGGTAGGGGATAAATCCTTAGATAAACTAAGAAAAAAGAAGAAATGAAAGAATATTATAACACTATTTCTGATGTACAGAAATAAGAGACTACTAAGAACAACCACAACCCAACAAATTGAGTCATTTAGAAGAAATTAATACATTCTTAGAAATCACAATCATGAAGATATAGACACTGTGAAGACATCAATAATGAATAAGGAAATCAAACCAACTATCAAAACCTCCCAAAGAAAAGCCTACAACAGATAGCTTCACAGGGGAATCCTACACAACATTTAAGAAACAATTAAGTCCTACTTATACTGTTCCAAACACTGAAAAGTAGGGAGCACTACCAAAGTCACTCTACTACCATGATACAAAACCAGACACAAACACTAGAGGAAAAATCCTCAGCTGGGACAGATTACCAAAAATAAATCATCAGAAAATAACAAAAATAGCATTATTTTACCATCTCAGGAGGTTAAGTACAAACTAGGACACTGTCCCAAGGAGCTTCCCAAATGGAACAGAGAAAATCCTGACTTAGTCCCACCTATGACTGCTCGGTTCCTCAGTTCTCAATTTTGTGAACAGAAATACTAGTACATAAATACCTCTTAAAGCAGAAAGAATAGAGCTAGAGTGACACAAAATTTCTTCCAAAATCTTTTAAAGAAAAATCTGCTATCTTGCACTCCATCACTAATAATGGAGCAATGAAGGAAAAGGACAGGATCTTTCCTGAGAATATGGTATCCCAATATGTCCATCTCAAAGGGAGATTCCTTCATAACACTCATATATTAACCACCTCTTATAGATTAAAAACAACATGGGAAGGTACAACAATGAATCCAAAACCAAACCTTCAAAAAATATGATAGCCAGCTTAAATCATTAGCCTCTACCAATGAGCTAGGTGGGCAGGAAGCCTGTTTAAAACTATAATAACAGAACATGATAAATGATGTTAACAGAGTTATAACGTGCCTCAAAGAGGGGAAAATGATGGAGTTCAACAAGATGAGAAGGGAAGAAATTACTGGAACGGTTGAGCCTTGAAGAAGGCCACAGAAATAAGGGGACCTCTAGCTGGGTACCACTAGTACGTGCCACTCAGGAGGTTGAGATCTAAGGATCACAGTTCAAAGCCAGCCCAAGTAGGAAAGGCCATGAACTCTTATCTCCAATTAACCACCAGAAAACTGGAAATGGTACTATGGCTCAAATGGTAGAGTGCTAGCCTTGAGCTTTTTAAAGCTCAGCAACAGTGCCTAGGCCCTGAGTTCAAGCCCCAAGACCAACCAACCAACAGAAAGAAAGAAAGAACAGTACCTCTAAGTAGGGTGGGGAAACTAGAAAACAGTGGGCACAAAATACAATCCAAGACTAAAACACAACAAATCATGTAAATCAGGTGGACTAAAGAGATGTATTTAGATGAAGGATCAAAGAAGTTGGAATAGTAGGGTAGGACAAGCCTTCTTAAAGGCTGGCCCGAGTTTGGACATTTTTCTGAGGAAAAATGGGAACCACCATGTTTGAAGAGAGTGTCTAATCATAAGGCTGTGTTGAGTGAAGCTAAAGATGCTCAACAGAGTGCTTGACTCACCAGTGGGTCACTGATTATTTCCCTCCACAGGTGGCACACCAGGCTCAGATTCCAGTAGAGGTCTTCCACAGGCAGGAAGGCAAAGATATGCCTCAGGACTTCATTAGGCAAGCTACAAATGTGGCTTGGTGGTTCTTGGCAGGGCAAGGTCCCAAGAAGGCCATAGTATGAGTCAGGAATGGGGTCAGGACCAATGTCCTCAATGTCTTGGACAGTTTCTCCAGAATCTGCAGAGTGCTGTGACAAACAGTCCTCTGCTTCTTGCATGGCCTCCCTAGGCCTTGTGCACGGTGGGGAAAACTGAAGCCGTGCAGTCTTCTTAGCCACTCCATCCCACTGCTTGGTCCCTGTAACCTTATTGCTGTCTTCCTCAAAGGACCGGGACCTCTTCCTGGGAGGTAGAGCTGACCTTGATGAGCCTACTCTCACTTCTCCATCGCCTTCCTGGGGCAGGGCGTAACTGCCCTCAGCAGGAAAGATCATGTGACCCTCAGAGTCCTGACAGCTGTCCTGGCCAACTGAACTGCTCTTGGCCATGTCATTGGTGCACTGCTGCTGGCCAGCTAGGAAGAACTCAGGACTGTGTCTTTGACATCCTTGACCTGTGCAAAGAACAAGAAGAAAATGGAGAAGCAATGATTAGTGATTACTGACCCAAAGTTGACCCAAATAAGACAACCTAATTCTTAATTATCTAACAGAGGAAGAGACAAGGATGTCTATGGGTCAAGTGGTTATATGAATAGCTAATTCAAAAAATAATCAGACATTAAGAAAGAGACAGAGATCAGTCATTGGGTGGTATGATTATCTAAGTTATACCTTAAAACATATGCAATGTCAAATGCTACACACTGGACACTTGACTGGACAGATAGAAAGAAGATAATTGTTCCTGTTCACATATATACTCATACAACACAGCTCTCCTGGCTCTTACCTACAAATCTGTAGGAAGACTTCCTGCTTAAGCAGAAAGAAAAATGCCTTACCTTGCCAGGTTCAGAAAATCCTACTCTTCTAATGTGACAGTTAAAAGTCTTTTAATGTTTTTTTTTTAACTTCCTTCTGTAAAGCTGATGCATTAAGTTCAAGGAATCATAATTATTTTTGTATTATTAATTGTGTCCAATTTCTCATATACATGTCTTTAGTTAGCACTTATTTATTATCTCTACTTCTGAGACAAAAATAAAGTGACAATTCCCAACCTCACAGAACATCTAGGCATGTAGGAGATGCCATGGTGATTTACACATCCTGGTGGCATTTTCGAATCCTAAAGTTATTTTCAAATGCCAACAAAGATTCTTACTTTGGAAAATAAGGTAATGGACTGAAACTAGGTTTAGCCTTTTAAGTGAATTTATGGAACTGCAATGAGTATTTCCTTCATATTATAGAAAGAAATCATTATAGCTGCTTCTAGAAAAATGTGATAGAAACCCAGAATTTTCAAGTCAGGCCTAGTTAAATTCTGGCATTTCATAATTGTCAAATTCATTTACACTAATAGTGAAGAACCTACCATATGCTCAGGTCCACGCTCAGAGTCCTGAAGAACTCACAACACAGAAAGTGACTTAAACACATTAAGCACACCAAGTATCAAAAACAGGTAATTAAGATTTTTTAAACTGCCTCACAATATTTTTACAGGTACCCACAAAATAAGAAACATATGAATGTATGTGTGTATGTATGTGTGTGAGAGAGAGAGGGAGAGAGAGTTTTTTTTTTTGCCAGTCCTGGGGCTTGAACTCAGGGCCTGGGCACTGTCCCTGAGCTTCTTTTGCTCAGGCTAGAACTACAACTTGAGTCATAGCAACACTTCCAGCTTTTTCTGTTTATATGGTACTGAGGAATCGAACCCAGGACTTCATGAATGCTAGGCAAGCACTCTACCACTAAGCCACACTCCTAGCCCTACAATGTTTTAAGAAAAGTAGGTTACATTAAAATTCCATGGTAAAATCAGATGCATCAAAAGAGAAAACCAATCTAGTTTATACTAGCAGGAATTAGCAAAATAAGAATTCTTCTGGTAAAGACAGGTAATAAGAGAATCAAACAGCCAGATGAAGACATTTATGTATTATCAAATATGCCAGTGCCAGTGGCTCATGTCTGTAATCCTAGCTATTCAAGAGGCTGAGATCTGAGGATTGTGGTTCAAAATCAGCCCAGGAAGAAAAAGTCTCAGTGAGACTCTTATGTACAATTAATGACTCAAAAACTGGAAGTGGCACTGTTCTCAAAGTGGTAGAGCTCTAGCCTTGAGCAAAAGAGCTCAAGGACAATACCCAGGCCTTGAGTTCAAGCCCTACCACTGACAAAAAAAAAAAAAAAGAAAGAAAAAAAATAAGGTGATGGCAAGAATAAGATTGCATCTATTACAGAAACATGGAAACATGTTTTTTAGGAATGACTGTAACAAGCTAGAAAATGATGTCCAAAAATATTAGCTAAAACATATATTCCAGTTGGGTACTGGTGGCCCATGCCAGTGTTCCTAGCTCCTTGGGAGGCTGAGATCTGAGGATCACACTTGGAAAGTAGCCCAGGCAGGAAAGTCTTTGTGACTCTTATCTCCATTTAGCCAGCAAAAAGCTGGATGTGGGACTGTGACCTAAGTGGCAGAGTACCAGCCTTGAGTGAAAAAGCTAAAGGTTAGTGCCCAGGTCCTAAGTTCAAGCCCCAGTACTGGCATAAGAAAACAAAGCATGTATTCCAGTTGATATGAAAAAAACTAAAATCTTGTAAAGGAGAAGGGTTACTAGATGACAAAGAACAGGCTCTGACATAAAAGCACTGAATGATGGTAGACTTTGGGAAACAAAATTAATGACATCATGGACCTAGTGACACAGTGGTCAAAGATTAATAAAGTCGCATAATCACAATGCTGACACTGATCCATATCTCTTAGAACATACTAGCATGTGTCCTGAGGCTCTGGTCAATCATTAGGACAGAATTCTCATGGAAAATTCACAGGGAAAGTATCACACTACTGCAACAGGACTATAAAAATCATACCAGTGGTATTTTCAAATGCTTTTAAACTGGAGATACTCAAAGGCCACACAAATGGGAGTTTGAAATGCAAGATTCTTTTTTGAAGACCTACCCCTACTCCCTCTTTGTGTTCTGGGTCTAGGATAGAGACCATGGTTGGGATCTCTGTTTGTCCATCTTTGGCCGAAGGGCTGGGTTCCAGCCAAGTGACTCTGAGCCAAATGCTGGCAGTCGATAGCTGTAAGATGCTTCCGCTTAAATCGTTGCACTGTTTCGTATCAACAAGCAGAGGAAATGAGATATTCATTAGTTATAACTAGCTCTATAAGCGAGCCAGAAAATTACTCAAGTTTTTAAAAAATATAATAACTGATGACTGATTTTATAGATCACTCCAGCCAGCCCTTTCCTTCTTCCAGTGCCACCAACATTCAGCCACTGTCGTAATGTCTTAGTATTCCTTAGCATTTAACAGAGAGCTGGAGGTATGGCAAGTGGCAGAGGACTAGCCTAAGAAGCTCAGGGCCCTGAGTTTAAACCATCATTATCACCACAAAAGAACTTCATGGGCTGGGAAGATGGCTCAGTGGTAGAGTGCTTGCCTTGCATGCCTGAGGCCCTGGGTTCGATTCCTCAGCACCACATAAGCAAAAAGAAAAAAGCCAGAAGTGGCGCTGTGGCTCAAGTGGTAGAGCTCTAGCCTTGAGCTGAAGAGCTCAAGAGTTCAGGCCCCACGACTGTACCCTCCCCCCCCCAAAAAAAGAACTTCATAAAGAATCTCAAAATGATATTTTAAGATCCTTAAATGATTTTGAAATACTCATTCAAAAAGAAGTTGCTATGAATGGATAGTTGTAATTTGACATCTTTTCCAGGTCATTGTCTAGACCATAAACTTTTTTTTTTGTCAATCAATGGGCTTACACTCAGGACTTAGGTACTATCCCTGAGCTCTTTTAATCAAGGCTAATGCTCTACCACTTGAACGCCATTTCCAGACAAATGTTTTTATATTTACAAATATTTAAAAGTTGGCTATAGATTTTTTAAAATAAAATTGTAACATATTTGAAAAAAAATCCGTATATTTGTCTTTTTCCCCTTATGATTTAATAAACAACAACAACCAAGAGCAGGCTACAGCTTTTTTCTTTTTTCTTTTTGGAGGGGGGAGTGCCTATCCTGGGGCTGGAACTCAGGGACTGGGCACTATCCCTGAACTTTTTTGTTTAAAGTTAGTGTTCTACCACTTAAGGTACAGCTCCATTTCCAGCCTTTTGGTGGCTAATTGGAGATCAGAGTCTCATGGATTTTCCTGCTCAGGCTGGCTTGATCCCCAGATCTCAGCCTCCTGAGTAGCTAGGATTTAGCTAGGTGAGCTAATGGCACCTAGCTAAAGATATAGCTTTTTAAAAATAAACATATTCACCATCCCTTGTATATACCAGCTTCTCCAAAATTTAGAATCAAAACACAGTTATAATGAAATAGGCTAGAAATTTCTTAGAAGGACCACCTGGCATACACCTCTCTGCCCCACAAAACAGCATGGTACTGAGAACAGACTTTGAGGCATAGCAGTAAGGCCCTCAAGTGGAAGAAAACTGAATCCAATTTTCAGAACCCTCAGAGGAAGAAATTTCTCATCCTCCCTAACATTATGTTAAGGAGTAATTGATCCTAGAAGACTCTTTCAAGAGTACCAAAAAGGGGGACTGGCAGTATTGGCCAGTGGCAAGCACTCGCCTAGCATATATACAACTCAGGATTTGATTAATAGAGTACCAGGTAAGCCACAGCTCCACTTCTGGCTTTTTTTCTAGTTAATTGGAAATAAAGAGTCTCACAGATTTTCTTGCCTCAGGATTGGCTTCAAACCATGTGCAGATATACATTATAGTTATCATTTTCAAAAACTAGATGGTAGGGCTGGGTGCCAGTAGCTCATGCCTGTAGCCCTAACAAATTAGGAAGCTGAGATCCGAGGATCATGGTTTGAAGCCAGTCCTGGAACAAGAAAGCGCGTGAGACTCTTATTTCCAATTAACCAGGAAAAATAAAAAAGCCAGAACTTGGGGCTGGGAAGGTGACTCAGTGGTAGAGCACTTGCCTTGCATGCATGAGGCCCTGGGTTCGAGTCCTCAGCACCACATAAGCAAAAAGAAAAAAGCCGGAAGTGGTGTTGTGGCTCAAGTGGTAGAGCGCTAGCCTTGAGCTGAAGAGCTGAGGGACAGTGCCCAGGCCCAGAGTTCAGGCCCCACGACCAGACCCAAAAAAAAAAAAAAGCCAGAACTTGAGTGAGCTGTGGTAGGTAGAATGCCAGTCTTGAGTGAAAAAAACTAAGAGACAGCGCTCAGGCCTGAGTTCAAGGCCCAGAACTGGCACACACACAAAAAAACAAAACAACATACACACACACACACACACACACACACACACACACACACACACACACACACACACACACACACACACCTATCTTCTACTGAATAAAGCTTCTTTGACTAACTTTCATAAAACATGGAACTATCTTTCAAAATATAAAGATAATATATAATGGTAAGACTGAAAGTATACCAGCAGCCTCATTACAACCAATTGTTACTAGAAATACTTTAATAGCTAATATCTTAATAGCTCATATCTTATTATAAACAGAAAATCCAATATCCCTTCCACTTGAATGATTTTATGATTTATTTGTTATTGCTGAATACTCTAAACACTAAATCTTATTCACCCCTATGAAGGCACTAAAATTTTTTTTTAAGTTTTTCTAAATTACAAAGGCAAATATAAGCAAGGCATGGTAGAATAAGCTTAAAAAAAGATTCTATAACTGTGCAAAATAAACTTAGGTTACTGATAAGTGCTACCCAGTCTATGGTGTTTTATCATAATAGCCTCAATGCGCATGTTCTGAACAAACTGAGTGAAAGATGAGGAGGGCAAAGTGAAGTGATCTAGGCTTAGGTGGTGTAGAACCTAAGCCTAAAAGAAAAAAAAGAACTTAAGCCGAGACCACTGGGCCTTTTATGTGGATCTGGGCAAGAGCACAGCCAGAAAAGGGATCTCCTCAAACACCACATAGGACAGATGGAGAATATCAAAAGTGTTCGGTCCAGTCTCAAAAGGAAAGGTTTTGAGGAAAGGGGATAATATGGACAGAGGAATACATTAACGTATTTGCCTCATCCAGATCTGAACTGTTCGCTGAGATTACGTTTGTAGAAATCAAACTAAGGCACAGGAATGAAGATCTAATGGAAGTGCTGGAACACATCGCTCTGAGTCAAGAGTTCAGCTACATCCCAGTGTATTCTCTCACCAAGTCCTTACTTGGTGAGTTTAGGTAATGATGTGTGGAGGGGGCATCTCACCTGGGAGAACCAGCTTTGGTATACTTAAGGAAGTTGCCTCTGTTGTACATTAAATGGTGCAGTGTTACCTGAGGAAGAGCTGTCATTTTCACTGGATTGGCACGGCAAAAATAACTGTCCCAACTTCAGCTAGTAGCCGGTACAAATAAACTCTATCTCAGGTCTCTCAGATGTAAGTGCTGTGATACCCAGAAATGGGGATGGGGAGCGGGAGATCTGACTCCACCTCCTCTGGCATTAACTAGCCATTAAACACCTCCTCAAAGCCCCTTAAAGACTGGGTGGTAGGTCCCCTGGCAGGTGTCTATATTATTCAAGTCTATGAAAACAAGGGGCATAACAACCTGTCACACTGAATTCACAGGAGAAAGTCTACTTGTGACACCCACGTGGAGGCTGACGCCTACCTCTATACCTCAAAGCCTAGCAACAGAAGCATTAGAACAATTACCTGACGACCATACCAGTGGAGTGTCTCCTTAAAGGGACCTGCTTTATTTTAAAAGCATTAGTGTTCTTGCTAAAGTATAGTTTAACTACACCGAAATTCTAATTACCCTTCTATTTTTATTAGTATGCCTTTTTTGAAAGCAGGTCTAGTACAGCTTTATCAACATAAATAAAGATGTTCAAATGCCACCCCCCTCCCCTGCCTGCTTCCATTAAACCTTCCACATCACCCAATTTCAAGGTGCTGAGCCCTCCCCGCATAGCAGATGCACTTTACATGTCTCTAAAAGGACATCTGAAACCAGAGTGCTAGCTGCCACGGTGGGCACGCACAGGAGAGGCAAAGCTGTCTAAACCAGGGAGCATCCTTATGCTTACAGAGAAAGACAGTGAGGCTTTCCAAACTCCATGAAGCCTCCACAGATGCTCAGGTTCACCTTCTCCACAGCACGAGGCCTATACCGCTCTTTCAGACTCTCTCCCAACGGTGACTAACAGACAGGTGTCATATCCTCAGGGGACACGACAGAAAAGACCAAGAATGTGGGAAAAAATATTTTCTCAAACAGAATTTTGCCAGGCTCAAGTAAACCCATTCCCATACTGCTTTTTGTGGGATAGCTTCTCTTCTTGTGCTTTATCTCTGTTCCCCCTCCCCCTACGTAAGACTCCCCCCTTTCTAAAACCCTCAGATGTCTCTGATAATCCTTGCATTTTAGCTCTGGCTCTGTGGCCTGCTGGCACCTCAGTTTCCTCCTCTTAGCTATTGACTTAAGGTAGTCATTACCTGGAGTTCAGACTTGCCCCAGTCGTCAGATCTCTTCACTTCAGGACTGTCTATTCTAACTCTTACCCTTTGAAGGGAGATCCTCTAACGGAAATTAAGTTTAGTCTCCCTTGAACAACACTTAGTACTAAGCCTCCACTCCTTGAAGGGAGGGATCATGACTCATCACTTAACCCCCAAAGAAGGAAGCACTAAAGTAACCGACTATCTCCCTTCACACATCAACATGGCCCGACAGCCGTCAATATACATGGAAACTTCTTAGATTATTAAGGGATTGAAGATAAACTTCTATTGTGAGGTCCTTGCAGGTTTGAATTTATTTGTTTCTGCAGCAAAACTTACCCTAACCATCTCAGGGTCATTTGAAATTGATACCAAATATTTTCCTTTCTTCCCCTATCTTTCCTAATTAAAAAGTCCTCTCAAACTTAACAGGTTATGAACCAAAATGGACAAGATGAGGATAGTAACTGTCCTAAAAGGGAATAACTATGGCTAATCAAAGATCTTTTAAAAAATCAATTTAACTTCCTAAAGCATGGTACTCAATGGAAGAAACTGCTCTTAACACCGTATCTACCTTTGCTTATCAGACAATATACAGAGCCACTTACCCTCACTTGGTGAGCTTTTCTACAAGCTCTGCAC